TTCTCCCTCTCCCACTCCCCCGGCTTGTGTTCCCTCTCTCGCTGTGTCTCTCTCTGTCAAATAAATAAAATCTTTAAAAAAAAAAAGTAATCAAGTTAAATAAGGCCATTAGGATGGGCTGTAATCCCGTATGACTGATGTCCTTACAAGAAGTAGAAATGTGGACACAGACAGGCTCAGTGGGAAGACCAAGTGAAGAGACACAGAGATTCCACCTACAAGTCAAGGAGAGAGGCCTCAGAAGAAACCGACTCTGCCAAACTGATTTCAGACTTCTGGCCTCCAGATCTGTGAGAAAAATTTCTGCTGAAGCCCCCCGGTCTGTGGTCCTTTGTAATGACAGGCAGAGCCGACTAATGTGGGTTTTGTATCAATTAATTACAAATAGTGTGATACGTAAGTACAAAACGGAGGGGAACTAAGAGTTAATTCTGTCAAGGGTGTCGGGGGGCTCTCCAGAGGAGGGATGACCCCAGCAGGGTTTGCAGATTTGAGTAGAAAGGTGAGGGGATGGAGGGAATTTTCCAGGAAAACACAACAAGGCAAGAGACTCCCAGGCAAGTTTGCTGCTGAGCCAAGGGCGAGGGGAGGAGGAGCCGGGAGGGTGCACAGCTGCAGCTGGACCCAGAGCACCCCTTGTGCTGTTCTCAGGGGTAAGGACTGCATCCTCGGGCACAGAGGCCACTGAAGGGTGTTTAAAGCAGAGGAACCAATGTATCTGGACAGAGAATGATCCAGAGGAAAAAAGACTAGAAACAGGGCATTAGAAGGCAATTCACCAATCTAGGCAACGCTTGATTTGGGGTAGAACCAAGGCAGTAGTCCTGGCGGTGGAGAGAAGAGGTGACAGGCAGGAGATTCAGCAGAGGTGGAAAGAAATGGGACCACCAGCTGCTCCTAGTCAGGAGATGAAGGAGCAGGACAAATCGGGATGCCTCCCGGGGACACAGCTTTCAAGAGGGATGCCGCCCCAGTGACCACAATTAGACCTAGAGGAGATGAGAATAACTTGGTTTTGAACAAACTGAATTAGAGGTGCTTGGGTGAGCTGTCGCCTACACCCGACAGAAGCTCAGGGGATGTCTGGGCTCTAGAATCCATCATTTGAGAGGCAAAAAGCCAGAGACGTGAACCTGAGAGGCAGCCGATGTGGCTGGATAGGAGTATATTGCAATCATGAAAAAGTCCTATAAATTGTCCCAGCCAAGGGGAGCCTAAGGAGACAGGACAACTAAATGTCATGTGGGATCCTGGAACATAAAAAGGACATTCGGTAAAAACTAAGGAAATCTGAATAAAGAAGGCTTTAGTTTAATAATAATGTGTCACTATGGATTCCTTAAGCGTGGTAGATGTGCCATCCTAATGTGAGACATTTGTAGCAAGGGAAACTGGGTGTGGAGGAGTTCACATCCTAACTGGGCAACTCTTCTGTAAATCTCAAACTACTTGAAAATAAAAAGCGTATTTTTTAAAAGAGCATTAGGCTCATTAAGAATCGTATTATGTTCCTAAATCAGAGAAACCCAACTCTGGCATATTTCCTCTGATGAGCGGAGAAGCCTTTCTGTGCTCGTGTGACTGCTGAGCACTGTTCCCTTGGAGATCTCCCCCGAAGTGGCTTGCCTGGAAGAGCACATTCCCTCCGGTGCCTCTCTATGGAATGAGTCACGCTGTGAATCATCTCCAACAATGTGCGCCTCCCTGAGTTTACCCCACCTTAAGGGCATATCAAGGTGGCAGTAATAACACACTTCACATTCAACCTAATCCTTCTCGACTTGTCAATGCAAAAGTGCATGCACCTCCTGTCAAAAAAAAAAGAAAAAAAAAAAAAACCACTTCCCGTTAGAATGCATGATGTGCTTCAAAATATGGGAATAATCTTATTTTACCCCGAACCCGGGTTATGATCAACATCTGGAGCCGGACATTTCTTCACTGCATGTGACATATCTTTTCTCTGGCCCCAGGCATTGTGACAACCAAAAAACCACCCCCATTACATTTCCAAACATGCAAACTGGGGTCCGCACCCACCGCATCCCCCCAAGGATTAGTGAGATCCACCATGAAGGCAGTGGCCTCAAAAGGGGAGGGGAGCAATGGGAAGTGTTAGAGGGAGAGGAAAACAGACTCTCTAAACGGAGGTTAATGAGCGACACACGTGATAAAATTGTAGCTCACTAAATACACACACACACACAAATACAAGTAAAACTGGGGAAATCGGAAGCAGATGGGTGGACCATACCAGGGTCCATGTCCTTTGTGATAGCATGCATTCGTTTTGCAAGATGTTACCTTGGGGAAAATACAGGATCTCTTTGTATTGTTTCTTACAACTGCATGTGCATCTACAATTATCTCCATAACATTTCGATTTAAAAAAAGAACTTAGGGCAGCCATTGCTGAGTCAGAAGTGCTAACCTCTGCCTCCGAGCCCCCAAAGTCTCAGCATCAGAAGGTGAGCAAAGGGCTGATGATACAGACTCAGGAAAACCAGAGTTCAGGTCTCGACTCTGACTCTCACCAGCTGTGTGACCTTGGGTAAGGTGCATAAGGTCTCCCAACTGTACTTTCCCCAACTAACAGATGACTGTGACAGGCCCCACTTACAAGCGTGGCTCTCGTGATAAGATGTAAGAGGTAAAGTGCCTTTAGCACAAGGCAGGTGCTTGGTAAGTAGGAGGGATTCCTCCTCTCCAGCCCTCCGGTTGCTGGTTGCAGAACTTTGTCCTAGGTTCCCAGCCACCACTCTCTGCATGTAGCACTCTCAATTCCTTTGTGCCCTGTTTCTTCCAGTGCACCTACCCGGGAACCCCTGGGCCACACATCCGACCTGCACACGAACATCCAGCCTCCTGACAACATGCCAGTAGACTCCCGAGCGAGCGAAGGCCCAGCCCAAGCAAGGCTCCACATCCCATTCGTCGGCTCGCTCCCTGCTCCCACCCCCACCCCCACCCCCTCCCCAGGGTGACCAGCTGCAGGCTATATTCTAGCCAGCGCCTGGAAGTCTGTGAGTTGGCGTTCTGGTCCCAAAATAACCTGGAGGGCAAGGACTGTTCGGACCTCTGGTGTGCCGGATTGACCTTCCAGCTCCTTTCCTCCAGCTCTAACCCACACAGTTCCAAAGGCCAAGCCCATTAACATCCACCCTGACTTAGGATGTCCTGGGGTCAAGCAATGCAGGAACCAATGGGCTGGTCCTCTCACCAGGCACTGCCGGGCGGACTCCCAGGTGCCCCGCTTGCCCAGGATCTCTGGCGGGAGCCAACCAAAGCTGCCCTTTGGCTTGGGCAGAAACAGAGGAAGGGCTCCGATCCCCAGAGGAGCCTGCCGCCCTGATCCTTCCTGAGTGTCCTAAGAGGGGGCGTGGGTTGGAGTGGTGCTGTTCCCTTGGAATGGGAGAAAACACGAAGGAGAAATTGTGTCTGACCCTGCAAACCCACAGGCCAAAGGCTCAGTCTTCTGCCTGTATTATTATTATTAGTCCTTCTCCCAAAATGAATCCTCATCCCTGTCAATATCAGAATGCCTCAAACCCCACATGAGTCCACACCTTGCTTTGTGTGTGTGGGATCCCATCCACGGTTCCCAAGTGGAGCCTCAAGCCTAAATCCCAGTCCCCAGGACACAAGCCAGCCTAGAATCCTGCTGAACAACCCCAGAGGTGGGCACCTTCGTGTGCATGGAGCCTGAGCTGCTGTCCTGCCCTCTGCCACTGCTCATGGTCCCGGAGACCTGATCCCAAGTGTCTACACCACCCCCCATGTCCCCTCCCAATCACCCTACCTTCTGTGAAGGGCTTCACCTGTGCAGAACCCTGCAAACCCCTTTGTTCCTACTCCCCTGAAGCATGGTCCAGAGCCTACACTTCCCCCAAGCGCCTCTGTGGCCCTTGGTACCAGCTCCCAAGACTGGTGAGTACCACGGGCCAGGAAGGGGACTCTGAAGGACAGGGCCCTGGTGCCACCTCCGTCATCCCATTGCCCCTTCAACTCCACCTTCCTCCCTGACACGGAGCAGCCTCCCCCCCCGCCACATACACACCCAACCTCAGTGAAGATACTCTAACCGAGAAGCCCCCTCTCCCAGGAAAGACCGTTCCTAGGGCCGGGTGCTGCAATCACTGGCCACAGGGCATTGATCTACCTGACCAAAGCTGGGCCAGCCCGATTCTCCTGCTCAGGACCCGCACACTGGAAACAGAGACCCGGAGACAGGGCATCTGGTGCGGGGCCACCATTCCGGGAGGATGGCTGCCCAGAGGGCGGGCCCCTGAGCCCCTGGGCAGCCCCAGGAGCTTCTGATCCCTGCCCACCTCAGCTGCGGCTACTCAGATTCTTCCTTTAATTCCGTTCTCTGAGCCCCTCCAAGGTCCTCCCAGTGCACTCCGTTTCCCCTTAAACTAGCCAAATCTGATTTCATTGCTTGCTTTCAGGAGAAACTTAACTAACAACCCAGAGCTCAAACAGGGACTCGGACCAAAAGTTAAATCAGTGATGAAGAGTGTTTTGGCCACATTTGTCCTTTGCCCTGTTTATCTCAGGAGGCTCCTGGGGGACCGTGGAGCTAGGAGTGGCCAGGTCATTAGAAACACTGCCTCCCCCCCGGCCCCCATATGTTTCCGGGGAAGCAGTTTACCCCAGGACCCCTGGAGAAAGCCCTGGGCACACCAGGCTCCAGCAGTGAGCTCCCCAAACCTGGGCCATCTTCCCACCTCCATGAGCCAGTGCTGAGCAGGTCTGGCTCCCGTTCTAGGTGCTGCCCTCCCCAACCTGAGACACAGGACGCTGCGGGCGGCAGCTTCTGTGTCAGTGACATCACTCAGCCCCCTCAACAAGCCAGCCCCAATCAGCTCAAATCAGATCGCAGCAGAACAAACTTTATTTCTGTGAAGAAGACTCACACTTCGGCATTTAGCATAACTAAAGGGCTAACTCTGGAGCGTGGCTCATCGCGCTGTGAACTACCCCGTTTCCCAGCGGTCTTCTCACTCATCCCCGGCCTCCTGGTCTTTCTTCCCTTCCTCGGGGTCTCCTGAGTCTTTCAGATTTTGGCGAGCAAACTCCTCGAAAACCAAATTTTCATTCTGAAAACTAAAACAGAACAAAGAACATTTTGATCATGGCACGCTCTTGGAAGCTCGCAGTGAAATCTCAAGCGAAGTAAGACCCTTGGTCTTCCCTTTGCAACGGGGGAACCGATCAAGATTTTCCTACAGGATGAAGCCTGGGACCAAGCCGTTCTCCTCACAGCTTTTCATGTAAAGTCTCTTTAACAAACACAAAGAAGAGAAACTGAAGGAACCCACAGAGCAGACACACATGCCCAGGATACCCGAGGGCGCGTGTGTGCGCATGTGTGAGCGGTGTGTGTGCAAATCCATAGTACTAGGGAGCAGAAGGAAAACCAGAGGCTGAGGAGGTGTTCAGAGCATGTGGTGTGTACAAAAAGACCCCAAAGGGGGTTTGTGCCTGAGGAGGAAGTCACAGAACACAGGGAAGCTCAGGGCAGTGGCTCACCTTTCCTTTGCTGTAAGCATGGAATAAAGGAGAGAGAGAGAGAATTATCAGCATAAATTCTTTTTTTTTTTCTTTTGAGAGACAGAGGGAGAGAACACACACGTGAGCAGGGGGAGGGGCAGAGGGAGAGAGAGAATCTCAAGCCGACTCCATGCCCAGCACAGAGCCCAACATGGGGCCCTATCTCACGACCCTGAGATCATGACCCGAGCTGAAATCAAGAGTCAGAGACTTAACCGACCGAGCCACCCAGGCGCCCCTATCAACATAAATTCCGTGGATAGCTGCACTTGGAAAATTTCTTCCTTATTTTGGGGACTTTACAGTTGGAAGGAAAAGAAACCTAGGTACACGCATTTCATAACAACTGCGTGCACTCCCTCCCTCTTTGCCTTTTCCAGCTGCCAGAGCCTTTCTCTCTGCCCATCTGAACCCTGGTCTCCTTTACAGAACACCTCGCCCTTACCTCCTCAACCAGAACAAACCATACCTTCACCTCTGGGATGCTTTCTCTTTTCAAAGTGTTTCTCCCTTTGTGTCCTTTGGATTCTATCTAGAGCCGAGTCCCAGGTGCAGTTATGACCCCCGCTCCGGGCCCATCTCACACGTTCAGGCCCAGCTCGCAAGGGGCGAGTCCCGGGATGGACATCTAACCAGCACCTTCCGTGGCTGGGGGGTGCACTCAAGCCGGGGAACCACTCCCAGGCCCCCCAGGGGTTGGTTTCTCTGTTAACATGTTGATCATTTTGTTGTTGTTGGGTTATATTTTCAGATATGTTTTGCAGCCCCTGATTAACTGCTATTCATTTGAGTGGTTCTTTGTTGTTCGTTCGTTCCTTCAGTTTTCTGTCCACCTAGTAAAGTCCCGTAACCCTCAGGGGTGAGCCAGCAAGAGCCGAGCAAACAGTTCCAGAGGGTTTTTCGGGAGCACCACAGTGATGGAGACCCACAGCTCTTGTCTCTCGGGCACTAGGAGGGAAGTGTCCGTGTGGGCTGCTAACCACAGACCAACGGAGAGGTCCCCGGGGCAGGAACCATCCTGGGCTCCCACATGCTAGCCTAATTACACTACCTGGGACCGTCAGCCTGAAAGAGAATCAAATCAACACCTGCATTCCATGGTGGATGCTCTTGACAGGGGATAATAAAAACTTGATAGCATTTCTGTAGTGTCTATTAGGTATAAATTACTTGGCCCCAGGCTCTGGCAGAGCTTCTTAGCTACAACTTAGCGCTGTTTCTGCTTAGTCTACCTGTCCAGACTCAGAGCCGGGAACCAGGCAGGTAAGGTGTGAGCAGTCCTGTGCATGAAAGTCCTGTGACTCAAATCTCGGGAAGTCAGAATTTAGAGGCCCCGGGGTGATCTGTCCTTTCTCCCTGAAATCTCACAGGACAAAAGATCACCGTTTAGTCTTGACCTTGTGGTATGTTCAATGGAAGGGCCAGAATGACTGGAACATGAGAATGTCATACCCAGAAAAGGAAGAGCCCCACTTCCCCCAACTTAAGGCAAAAAGTCTGTTCACGGCTCCAGAGAACAATCTGCCATAAACGATGGCATCGTCTCAGGTCATAGTTTTAAAATATTCTTTTAAATGTCCTTGAAAGGGACCAGAATGCATCTCAGAGTTAAAAAATAGTATCTGAATGATACCAGCAGGTACGAATAAGAAAAATGTGGCCAGACTACTTTTTCCCCAAAGTACATTGACTATTTAAATCCAGAATATTTGGAAAAATACTTGGAGACAAAATATTTTTGAGACAAACCCAAAATGAATATGGGGGCTCATCCTAGTGTTTAAAGGTCATTTCATGATCAAGATACAAAAAGCTATAAAATATAAGAAAAATAAATCTTGTTTGTTTATACCACTTTTTTTCAGCTCGGGTCCTGGTCTCGGGGTCGTGAGATCGAGCCCCGCATGGGGCTCCACACTCATGAGGAGTCTGCTTGTCCCTCTCCTTCCGTTCCTCCTCTCTCTCTCTCAAGTAAGTAAATAACAATCTTTAAAGATACATATTTAAAAGCCATATCGAGCTCTAATTCATATACCATACAATTTTCCTAGTGACAGGCACAGTCCAGTGGTTCTTACTATATTCACAGAGTTATACAACCATGACTCCATTTACTGCAGACATCCATACGAGAGCCAATGGGTTTGCAATTCAAAGGAGCCAAGGCGTCAGGAACCTGGCCTGACCCCTTTTTCTAGTATTTTCTGTACTCTCATCACAATTGCCACCGCCCAAAATACTCATCTTGTGAATGCCTGTTAATGTTTCCAAATGAAATGCAAAAGCCTCAGCCTCTCAAATGTATTTTGCACCTAAACTTTCTTTAAATCTCAATCCAGTTCTATTCCCACCAGAGCTTCGGCTTGTAAATCATCCCTGATAAAACCCAACAGGAGAGTCCGTGTCCAAGGGCAGGGATGCTCTATTGTCCTCATGCTAACTGAAGGTGGACAAGCCGTGGCTCGTGGCTCGTGGCTTGTGGCTCATGGCTCGTGGCTTGTGGCTCATGGCTGAGGAGATGAACACTCCTCTGTGGGCTGGCCCTAGGGCACCGTGAGGATGACAAGCAATCACCTGGCAATGCCCCCTGGGGCCATGGTCAGGAACGACCAGCAATGAATAAATAAGAAATCTGCAAGTAGTAAATGACTGGAGAAAGCCAAGACGTCGCGTGACTGACCTGGGTCCTCGGGCTGGGGGTGCATGAGGCGGAAAGGCACCTCAGTGGCCACTTCACTGGAAAAAAGAGAATACAGATGGATGAGAAGACACACAGGATTGTAAAACACACAGAACAGAGTGGTGGCTGAAGAGATTCCAAGCTGGAAGAGGATTCAGTGAGATTCAAAACAAAACAAACCAGAAATCAGGAAGTGGTCAAGGAGGAATTTTAAATGTATTCCCCAGAATGCGGTCCAGAAACTTCACTTAGGCATGGCAGAGACAGCTAGGCTTTGTAAGTTCATTCCCCTTCCTTCTGGTTATTAGTTCCAGTGATGTGCTATGGTGGGTAGAGAAGTGAAATCCCGCAGAAAGGATAGTTTTGGAAAAAAAAAAAAAAAACAACTTGCCAAAATGTACACGACCTTTTATGTGTTTATTCTATGTCAAGAGTCACATAGTCGCTTGTTAGAGAGCAGAAGAGAAATGAGCAGCGCCCGCCACGCCAAATTCCAGAAACTGAAGGGCTTCGGGGTGGCTTGGAATTTATACAAAAAGAAGGAAGGAAAGGGGTCAGGATGGAGAACAGAAGGCAAATCTGGACCAAGGAAGAATGGAAAGGAAGGAGTGAAAGAGCAAGGGTCTCTCCTTGCTTCACCCAGGACCCACCGCCTCCTACCCCGACGTTACGGCTTTGGTCAGAGCACATCTGTGTACAAGGCGACTCCGGTCAGACCCCAGTGCAGATGGGGTCTGGGTTCCACGTGAGGGATGGAGACAGTAAGAGCCAGGATGAAAGAGTCTGCGAGGTCAGCGCCTGCCTCGGACGTGGCTTCAGGCCTGCCACTTTGGGCATGGTTTGAAAAAGGTAGCTGTTACTGTTCACAACGGCCAGACGGTGGAAACAACCCAAATGTGCACCAGCTGCTGGATGGAGGACCCAAATGTGGTCTGTCCACACCATGGACTATTATTCAGCCATAAAAAGAAATGAAGTATTGACATCTGCTACAACACGGATGAACCTCAGAAACATGATGCTCAGTGAAAGAAGCAGTCACCCAAGGACAGATACTGCCTGATTCCTTTTATGAAATAGCCAGAAGAGGGAAATCCATGGAGATAGAAAGATCAGTGGTGGCCAGGGGCGAGGAAAAGGGGGGAATGTCAGAGACCACTTAATAGGTATGGCTATGGTTTCCTTTTGTGGTGGTAAAAATACGAAGGAGCCAGAGAGCGCTGACCATTGCACAATATTTTAAACATCCTTGATGCCACTGCGTTGTACATTTTAAAATGGTTCAGATGGTAAACTTCATGTTACATACACACAGACACAAAGACACAAAGGAGCATGCCAATTTTCTGAGCGTGCGTTTGTGTGCGTGTGCGTGTGCGTGTGTGTGTGTGTGTGTGTGTCCTTGCCCAGGGGAGGCTCAGCTGTGGTCTCGAGGAAACATCCCCAACCTCACACCGATTAGGCAACATTCGTACGATGCCTCTGGTAGGCAGTGGGTCTCACTTCATAACACCTCTGAGCAGAACTGCCAGCAAACCAGATTTCACCGTTACTATCTTGAACCCCAGATTGGTTCCCCATGATATCCCGAGAATCAAGCAGGGAAGGAAGGTGACCAGGCTTACCTGGAGGTGAGCTCTCCCAGAAAGCTAGGAAACAAAAGCAAACAGGGCTGGTGAGTGTCCCAGTGATACCACAACCTTATTTCCCATTATTCAGAGGTGGACATGTCCCAGGCACGCTCCGCACTCACAACTTACGGGATCTTTGCAATCCCGTAACATTCAACTCAACTCTTCCTCTCTACTTGTGACGTCATCTCTTTCTCAAGTGGATTAGCTAAAAAGAGGAATCACTTAGGTCCAAGCCCTGATGTTCAAGAATAGACCACAGAGGTCTTTGTGGAATACACTGCTATTCACTTATCTTGACTACTAAAAGAAACTCTACCGTTTTAGATCCTCTCGGAGAAAATCAAAGGTAATGCTACGCACTTTGAAAAACACTACAACTACAAACACGGGGGTAACACAGTTTGTAAAATCAACCCATGCTCTACTTTGTTGTCCCAGCCGAAACTGGGGGAACTCATTATCGACTTAGAATCACAGAATATATGCTTGGACTTGCCCTTGATGGCTCGTCAAGGTAAAAGGCCAGAACCTTTGGCAATGGGATTTGAAAGGAAAGTGAGAATTCAAGTTCTTTCCCTCCTAAGATGCAAAAATGGAGATCTACCGAGAATTCGTTTGGCAGCTGCCCTTCTTTCCTGAAGTGTGATGTAGCACTGAACGGATTTTTCTTTTTGGCGTATCAACCTCCACCATGTGAGCATAAGCGCGCACACTTCCACCAAGTAGCACTAATGTATTTCGTAGTTTGCTCCTTCTAATTTTTCCCACGTGATGTCAGATCAAACAGAATCGACGATGACAAGACAAATAGAATCTCTCCAAAACTCTACTTGGTCATGACAAGACAAATAGAATCTCTCCAAAACTCTACTTGGTCATCCATAGAATTTGTAGATCTTTCTTCCTTGCTGGCTCCCAATCATTCAGGAAAGGAAGAATTCAGATGGGGAGAGGCCAAGACAGAGCCCACAGCATTGGCTCTTGGACACTCACCCTGACACCGTGAGCTTCACTTTGATTTGGTAAGACACCAGGATGCCCAAGACAGTCCGGTCTATGCCCTCCTTTATTCTGCTCAAACAGAAAGGAAAAGCGGAAAATTACAGAGGAACAGCAGAAAGCAAAGACTGGATGAACAAACCCCTCACCTCCAGACAAGCCTATTATAATGGGAGCATCTTCTTAAGGAACTGGTGAATTCAACCAAGCTGTCAAAGTCCTAGAACTTTCCATAGTCAAGGGAGGGGATTCCTTTCCTGCATTGTAGCTTGGCATTTCTTCCCACCCGCCACCCCCCCGTCCCCACCCCGGAAGTTCAAAGGGCAGAGTGTGTTTCCTGGTTCTACCTACTCTGTCTCCAGTGTTGTTCATCCACCTGCTTATCAGCCAGAAACACCCCCCTCCTCATCCTCCTTGGCTCCTCCCTCTGCCCCACCTGCCATCCCTGGCCAACCACTGAGTCCTCCATAGGCTTTTCCTGCCTCTATTATCTCAGTGACTTACCTCCCACAGGCCCAGCCCCTTCCCTGAGCTCTCAGCCACTCTGCAGCCAGAGGGCTCTCCCAGGGTCAAGCCTCAGCATGGCCTGGCAGTCAATCTGTGAGCTGGCCTTTCCCTGCCTTTGCCACCTCACGCCCCGCTATGCCCCAGTGTCTCCCATGCACCAGCCTTACCACACACCAGCCTGGAATGCCCTCCTTCTCTGCTAAGACCTCAAGTTGAAGTTGACCCTCCTTTGTGAAGCCTTCCTGGCCATCTGCCATCAGCATGGGTCTCCCTCCTTTGTGCTCTGGCCCCCAGCTCCCAGCATCGTGTTGAGGTGAATGAACACAGTGCATGAGGCCATTGCCCATGCCCCCAAAGAGAGCGCCGTCTAACTTTCCCCGATAGGAGCTCCATTCCAAGTTCTACTAACAGGTGCTGAGCTCCTACTGTCTGACAGGCACCCTGCTGGGCATTATAACACATTGTTATCTCATATGCCGTCCATTGCAGGGACATTGAGTATTTCAGGATGCCCAGTCACAGGAGTTAAGGTCTGAAAAATATCACGACAGGCTAGCTACAACAATGTGAATGACAATAGACAACATGGCCAAGAAAGCTGAAGGCTTGAGGCAGAAAGCAGGGCACGATTGTGTTGAGAGGTCTGAGAAGGGTCTGAGAAGGGTCTGAGAGTACAGGGTAGGTTCTAGGCCCAAAGACCCCAGCCCAGGGATCCCTTTCATGGGAGGCACCTTGGACATTGCTCCCAGGGCCATGTTGCCCTTCAAATACTCCATCAGCTCCTTGGTGCCTGGAGCTGCTTGTGGAGGGCAAATGCCTTTATCTGGAATCATGGAATGTGGTCACACAGTTGAGAGAGGCTGATACCAAAGGGGACAAAAAGGGGTGCAAGCCTGAGACCCCGCCACCCCCCTGTTGCTAGGACTGACTGTCTGACTTGTACTGAATGGAGTGAAACAGCTGGGGGAGAGAATGTGCTTCAGCTCATGCCTGATAATACCCAGCAAGCCTCCCCTCCGCCATCTTTCTTGAATGGGAGAGTCTCTCTGCACGCCCCCACTTGCTCTCTCTCTCTCTGTCTCTCTCTCTCTCGCGCACACACACACACACACACACACACACACACACAGAGATTGGCTAATCCAGGTTCTGCTGTGGTTGTCACTTTCCAGGGCCCTGGAAGGCAGCCCTGAAGCTGGGGGTGAGTGAGGGACTCGGGGTTAGGAGTGGCCTTTGCTCGGCCATTAATTGACCAGGTGACCTTAGTCAAGCCTCTCCTTCTGGCTGAACTTCAATTTCCTCATTCATAAAATGAGTATAAATTCGCCTTCCTCACAAAAGTGTGGAAGACTTACATGGTTGTGAAATAGTCGACAAACCATACAGCATTTCTATAAACGTGGCATGCCACTGTTGGTGTCGTGATGGCCACACCCTGGAATAAACTGATCTCGTGTCAGCGTGCCTGCCAGTCACTCTCCCAGACCTTCACCAGAGAGCCTTAGAATCAAACATTCCAACTTGGACCCTTCTCCTCATAAAATCCTTTGACTCCCATGATCCCGCTTCCTGCCAAATGTTTGCTAACCCCACTCTTGTCTCGGAGCCCATGGGCTGCTGAGCTAGGGGGTCATGGAGATCAAGCAGGAGAGCCTCTTCCCGATGGCATCCCCTTGCAGGTGGCCTACTGGGGCCACGGAGGGAGCCCCAGTGCATCACACGGGGGATGGCAGGGAGTGGGCCTCGAGATCTCCCCCACTCAGGGCTCGCCAACCAACATGCTCTGGGAATGGAAGCCTTGAAGGATGGCTGGACATGGCAGTGGATAGTTGACCTGGAAGGCTCCCTCCAGTTTGTGCTAGATCCGCTGGCGAAATTCAGCCAGCCAATGGTTCTTTGAGTTGGGGTCAGCAGAGCAGTGCTTAGCTTCATTGAAATTTAATTAACATCTGTAGCTATCAGGACCTCCTGTTCTTTACCTTCCCTGGTGGAAATGAATAAATGGCCATTCCACCATGCATGAGGCCACCTGCATTACTCAGTTTATTTATTTTTATTTTTATTTTTTAAGTAGGCTCCACGCCCCATGGGGGGCTCAAACTCGTGACCCCGAGATCAAGAGTCACACAACCTACCAACTGGGCCAGCTGGGCGCCCCGGCATTACTCAGTTTCTGTGCTTAGGGCACTACACTAGCTAATGATATTTTTAGAAGGTAACGGCTGCCATTTCTGGAGCACTCACTGTGTACCCAGCACCACATTTTACACGGACTGTCTCCCGTAATCCTTACAAGCCTCTCCACAAGAAAAGACAGCACCCCCACTGTACAGATGAGAAAACTAAGGTTCTTAGGCAGCCTGAGTCATTTGCCCAGGGTAGCCCAGACTCTAAGCAGTGGAGCTGGGGCTTGGCAGGAGGCTGCCTCCAGAGCCCACTGCTCTAACCACCATGTCACACCAGGGGAGGGAGTGTGGGCCCCGCTCGGGCCACCGAGTCAGCACTCTGCGCCTGGAGTGACAGCCATCAGGCTCCACGTGAGCCCATGAGCCCAGGGGGTGAGACAAGAAGCAGGGCAGACCAGTACCACCTCTGCCCTGAGTCTTGGCGGCTCATCTCCTGAGCTACAAGGACTCACATGGTGCTGGAGGCAAGGTTCGTGTCCTCATGCTTGATCTTCCCATCCAGGGCGATGCCCCGTCTTTCACGGTTGTTGGCCAACAAGGGCACCAGCGTGAGCGTCGTGGTCAGAGTGCTGTTTGGTGGCACTTTTTCTCTGTAGGAAGAAACGCAGAGGGGATATTTGGCTAACTATTCTTAGGGCCATAAAGCCACCATCGGTCCCACGAGACCCTATCTGCCATCAAGGATTTTCCAAGATCCAAGGTCCCTGTGACTTACGGGGAAGATAGTTCAGGTTATCTGTGCACTCGCCTTACAAGAAATATTGGTGACATCTCAAAACAGGCTGGCAGCAAGTGCCTCAACCTCCTGTGAGTCACTGAATTTCTAGAGTATTCTGTGGGGCTAAATGAGACTAACACAAGGGTCAGGGCCCACAGCAGTCTCCTCCTGAGACTTCGTGACCACACCATGGGCTGCAGGCCATCTGGCCAGTGCCAGCAAGAAGCCTCAGCTGGAAGTCGCCTGTCACCGAGAGCTGTCGCTATCAGGAGGATCGGGCTGTTGAGGGTGTGGTAGGGCCCTCTGGACTGGTGCAGACCGGACTGGTTTGGTTCAAGGCACACGTGCTCTGTCTCTCCCGGTTCTTCCCTGTCACCGGGTCAGGTGGTGGGTGTCTCAGCCTCTGACAGACACAGGGAACCCATGCCAAACAGTGGGTCTACAGGTCAGGGATTGGGCTGGGGGCACAGCAGTGAGGGTTTCTCCAGGCCTGGAGCATCCCTGGCTCGTGGAGCCTGCAGAGGCAGCTCTGCTGTTCACCGGCATGCTCCACCACATCTGCATCCAGAGGTGTCCACGCCGCTGCAGGGCTCAGCCAGCCGGCTGCCTGTGTCAACACTCCTGGTGCACGGAGTGGCCCTAAAAACACTGCCCAGGAGTCAGCCCCAGGGTCCTGGGAGCCCCGGGGTCCAGGGATAATGACTAAGGCTCTGCAGCCTTCTGAGTGGCTTCTGGCCTGAGACCTGTGAGCACGATCTAGCTCAGCTTTCAGGCTCCCCGCCTCCCACCCTTGGGGGGATCCTACAACGGTCGCCAGTGTCCTGGGAATCATTTGGTCCAAAATGCACTGAATTGCTGAAAAGAAGTCCAGATAATGGGCTATCTGAGGGGAAAACTCAGCCAGGGACCATTTTCTCCTTTCATCATTGAGCATATGCCAAAAGATGAGCCAGGGAAGCCCCGGGACCCGAGGACGTGTGAGGATGCACCTGCAGGGGAGAACAGACCCCCCCACCAGCAGCACGAAGGGAGCAGCCGATGAGCTACGGCTCTTTCCTGCCTCCCTCCCCTCTGGACCTATATTTAAACATGGGGCGAGATCTGCTTTGAGTAATAGTTTATTCCAAAATTGTCTGTTAAAGTTTACGTCATGTTCTCTTGCTCAATCAGTTTGTGTTTCCTCACCGGCCCCCTTCCTGTAGCTCTGGTAATATTTTTTGCATACAATGGTGCTGAGACACATCAGAGAGGCAAAGAGGAAAAGACCTGCCCGAGCGACCCTCTCTGGGGGAGGCATCACCCCAGTAACCCGTGTGTGAATGAAGAGCATGGAGCAGGACCGGACAGATCTCTGGCTCCCCCATCACAGGGTACGCCTCTGCTTTCAGTTCTAATGAAGGGAGAGAAACGCTCCATGGCGCCGGGCTCAGAACTGACAGACCACTGGTATCTGGCTGTCATTGGTACCACATTTTCAAATTGAGCTGAAGATCAAAAGACAAAGAACCCTCGCCTGGGCAGACAGATCATTGGCTTGTCTGCACCGGGGGCAGAAATCGTATCAGATTCCTCTGGACTTATTCCAAGGAGCAACAGAAAGTTTCAGCTGTTCCCACTGTGACATTTCAATCTTTATTTCTCTCCTTTCCATCATTCCTTGTGAGTGAGATCTCCGGGAACTCTTAGGAAGGAGAACAGAACTGAGATGCTAACTTTCCTTGCAGCCCTTAAAGTGAGAAAAGGGGAAGGAAGGGAAGCATCCTACTTCCCTCTTCAGGACGAACAAAAGGGGAACTTGACAAGGAAGCCTGAGCCACCCAGGAAATAGAAACCCAAGCAGCTACTCACTGTGTTTCCTCCTGGGCCACCGGCTTGGTGTAATAGTCACTCGAGTAGAGAACCACGTTGGCCACTTGTTCTACTGCAAAGGGAGGACAGGGGTGGGTGATTCGACGTGGAGTCCCCCACCCATGTGCATGGCGCCTGCCAGGGATGCAGCGGGTCTTCCCTCTCTAATGCTGATGGAGGGTCCTTCTCAGGCTTGGCTTTAAGGCTGGGGTTTCTGAGTTCTGTCCTCAGGCCACTCCTGTTCACCAATAACCTGCTCTGTGGAAGCTTGCCCCCATGAGCCAGCCTCCCTAAAACTGCACCTCCCAGGAGACCCCTACCCGCTGAACCCACGCCATACCTACCCTTGGGTATCCTTCCAAGTGTGCCGGAACTCACTATTTGTGCTTTCTCCAAACCTGCCGCCCCTTCCAACACTCTCTTATTTAATGAGCACCTCCTTCCAGTTGTCCAAGCTAGAAACCTTCTCCCAGCATCATACTCCTGACTCGTGCATGTGGGTAGGAAGGTGGGCTCTGGAGCCAGACTCCTTGGGCTCAAACCCCGGCTTAGCTGTCAGCCGTGGGGTGAGTCATTTAACTCCTCTATGCCTCAATTTCCCCATCAGCAAAATGGGGGTGACAACTGCATCTAACTTCCACGGTTGTTGTGATGATCAAAAAAAAAATTTTTTTAATCTCTGTTCAGATCAAATTTGAGAAGTAAGAGAAACAATTTGTGTGAAGCACTCAGCACAGTGCCCAGCCTATAGAAAGCTACTAACATCTTGCTTCAGGAAGCTCAACAGCTTCTTTCAAAAATGAATGGCCTTGATGTGAGAACTCATAAAACTTTGAGAAATAATTTAAAATCAAAGTATCAAATGATACTTTCTCAATCCTGCTACTTTGTGGACTACTGTATTGCACACTACACACAACATGCTAAATAATACCAGGTCCTACGAAGAGCAAATGCAGATGAACTACACCAACATAAGACAAAGCCATAAGCATGCACATCAGCATCAGGAAAACGTATAGTAATTCTTTAGTGTGCCTGCATCAAAACTCCTGAATCTTATCTATGATGCACACACACAAGGGAAGAGGAAAGTGGTGTGTAACATAAGTGACCAGCCATCCTGATCTGCCTGGAAGTAGCCCATTTTAGCACTGAAAATCCTGGTCAAGAGGCACCCAGCTGGCTCAGGCGGAAGAGGATGCAACTCTTGATCTTGGGGTCATGAGTTCAAGCCCCATGTCAGGGGCAGAGATTACTTAAAGAAATAAAACTTAAAAAGAAAAAGAAGAAGAAAAAGAAAATCCTGGTCAAGCCAGGACTGTTGGTCACCATAACACACTATGAGTCTGACTTTGTCTTAGTCATTGAGTGTTGTTTGAGTTAGTGGTGAACTTAGAGGTCACCCTCCCCGGTCATTCTGTCGTGTCTTTTTTATGTGGCTCCTCGAAGACCACGCTATCTGACCATCCCCTGTACTTCGACACCCTCCGAGCTGAAGAAAGGGGTAGAATAGCAGGCAGGCTGGCTTGGTCATCACATTGTGGTAACTCAACAGCAGACACGATAGGGCTTTACCATTTACAAAAGCACTTCCAGGCTCCAATCCTTGGAGCCTCACAAAACCCAGGAAGGTAGACCAGGAACCAGTGCCAGGTCTTCATAGAGGACGCACAAGGCGCAAGCCCACAAATTAGGCCCACTGTCCTCAATCCAGTGCTTTTCCCACTATGCTATGCTACCTCTGTCCAGAAAACTTAATTCTGATCCAAGAAAGAAAACTCCTCCCGTGGCTTCTCCCCGGGATCTGGCAAGGGGCTCCTCCAGGAAGGCACGGCATGGAATGTTGGAGGATTGCCTGTCAGGGATGTTGTTTCAGGACAAAAGACAGCCCTAAGCTGGACACAAGGTGGCATGAGGCGATTCTTGAGGGTCTTTCCTCCTGTAAGTTCCTGCTGTCCATGACAACAGAGATAAACAGGCAGTTCCAAAGACCCAGGAGGGCCTTATCTGCCCAGAGAAGAGACCCTGGGGAAATATGACCAGATGGAGAAATTCTAGAAGACTCTGCCTTCCCGTTTTGAGAAGAAGTTCCTACCTAATGCTTTAATCTTCTTCACTGTCTTCTCTGTGTTATTGGTCACGGTAATGGTCACCAAAATGGGCTCCCCATGGAAATAGATCTGAAAAAGTTAGCAAGGAAGTCAGAAAAGAGGAACAGAGCGTGGTGGTATCTTTAATCTCATGGCTTTCTAGGTTTATCTCCGTCCTTTAACCAGAATCAAAGTGGCTGAATTCCCACACTTTCAAGGAAGATAAAGGGATAGCAACAGGGTTCCGTTAGCCAGGGTCCCGAATGCGGTCTGCCTCGTCTGTGGTGCCCTGAGGACAGTGTGACCAGGGTGGAGTGGAGCAAAGCTGCTCACACCTGGAACGCCCAGTCCTGAGGGTCATGGCAGCGCTGGCCAAGGGGGGTCCCCGGTGGAATCGGAAGGCCATTTGGGGCAGAATGAGGGCAGTGAAGGGGAATCAGTGGAGAGCCCAGGGGCAGGGTTCTCCTCAGCAGTGATCCCCACGTGATCCAGGCCCGGGGGGGGGGGCACACCCTTGCACACGTGTGCACACACAGGCATGCATATAAACACAGTATGCTGAGCCTTTGCTAACACGTTTGCATGACTCTCGGTGACCAGAGGGACCCGAGACAGCCTCAGCTGGTGGTTCTTCACCCTCCTTCACCACAACATCCCTAAGAGATGCCATTCACATGTGACTTGGCCACCCCTTCACCATTACATGGAAACTTACATTTTCCAGGGAAGTAAACAATTTGCAAAATCACACCCATTGGAGCTAGTAAATGAGACCCATGGGGCCAGGGGGGCAAAAACGGCCTGGTCAGGGGCACACGGAAACCACCACCCTTCTCCCTAGTTGGTCTAGGACTGGCAATGCGGTGGATGTGGCCAGTGTGACCCTATCCTGAGGGTCACCTTTACTAGCTCCAAATTATGAGAAAAAGCCAATTGTTCACAAAACATTGGTGCTTTAACTACGCCTAGACACAAGATGACTTGCAGCACACCCGCAGCGGAGTGGGCCCCAGGGCCCGCTCCCATGCGGGACACAGCGCCTGTCCAAGGCTCACCTCTTTGTTGAGGGAGACAGCCAGGTGCAAGGGCTTGTCAGACATGAAGAACTGCCAGGCGGTGTCAGCTCGGGGCTGGGGACCCATCTTCGTTGGCGCGTGTTGTACTTTCCGGATCAGTAAACGCACGGAGCTCCTGCGGGTGACAAGAGCAGAGAGTTCTGGGCTTATGGCTGGGCCTCCTTGGAAGGTGTCCAGGCCTCTCTCCCCGTCCTCATGCTGTGATGCTTCAAGAATACTCCCAAGGGGTGACAGGTGAAACAGAGGAGGGAGGAACTCCATGTTGGGGTGCGGGAGGGCCCCAAGGACCTGTGTTCTGGTCCCTCCTCTGAGGTTTCCCCAGCTGGGTGGTGTGGGCTCGAGGTCACTGTCACCCTCGGCTCTCAGGGCACAGCCCGGGGTGGGCAGGGGCTGAGTGTGCCTCGTATGACGTTCTTCCACACACTCAGCAAACGTGACTTACTGCAATTGCTATTCGTTACAGCAGACCTCCACGAGTGCGTGTGTTAGGTGTGAGGAAAGAGCGTTGAGGGCACGATAGAAAACCATGTTCAGGTACAAGAAGAAAAGTGAGCACCAGGGCCCGGGGGGGTGCGGGAGGGCGGGGGTCACTGCCTGAAGGGCAGAGAGCCTCTGTTTGGGGTGATGACATGTTCTGGGTGTAGACAGTCTGGGGCGCAGAGAGCGCACAGTGCTGTAACTAGGGTCCCACGACACAGTGGATGGACTTAATGTCTCCGAAGTGCACACTCAGAAATGGTTAAAACGGTAGGACTCTATGCGGTGTATATTTTATCACAATACAGGAATTACTGAGAAGAAGAAAACTAAAGAGAGAGGGAATCCAGGGGCTGCTAGAGGCTTATGTGAACCTTGAGGTTGTTAGCTCCTCCACCATTTTCCTTTTATCCCCCCAAAGGACGAGCCACCGACCCTGCCCCGTGTGTGGACGTCCTGACTGCCTGGGCCGGGCAGGCCCCATCTCCCTGGCCGTGCAGTCCTATGGGGGGAGCTCAAGTGAGGGGCGGCTTCCCACCCCAGCTCCTTGCCCCCCACCCCAGGCGCCGCCCCTCGTCCTGCAGCTACACTCTTACTTCCTGGGCACTTTGTCCGCTTTTTCCTCTGCGCTGTCTCTGGCAAATGCTTTGACCTCAAAGTCGACCCCGCAGCACTGCAGGGGGCAAGAGAAGAGACAAGGGTTCAGTCAGCACCTCCCTTCCCGGCAGCTGGGATGGGGTCACACGTCCCACCGGGATGTTAGGTGGCACTGGGTCTTTTTGTCTTTGCCACGTCCTTTCGAGGGCTACCCCACGAAGGCTGGATTTGCCGCGTGCGGAAAGCACGTAAGGAAAGGATGAGGTCAGGACGGGGAGCGCGCTGTGGGCCCAAGCTCCCAGGGAGATCACGTATGGTGTCCAGCCCTCCCCGCCATTTAGCTGTCCCTCCAGCTGTGACTCCGCATGCCTGGCACTGAGGTCACAGCGCCCACAGCAGGGGCTAGATGCAGGTGCTCGCGGGGCTGGCGGGGGGTCCACGACTGCCCACACCGGCCACCAACCCTGGAGGGCTGGTCGGCCGAACCCAGACGTGGCGCGGCTGGAACGGGGGCGGGTCCCGGCACCGGTGGCTCTTCCAACTTTGGCAAAGAAGCCGGAAATGGAATTGGGGGCAAAGTCTTCTGATTTTGAAACTGACTCAATAGCAGTACGTTGTGTGGGCAGAACAACCGCATCTGCCCCGCGGGGCCCCTCCCCAGCCTGCTCATCTCTGCACGTCGCGCTCACCAACCGCCCCGACGGAAAAAGTGCAACCGGCTAAAAGACATGATCGGTTGTGTTGACGGTGGCGTATGAGCCACAGCCCCGTTGGTTCCACAGCCGGGGAATCGTGACAATCCTGAGATCTAGTTCAACAATAAAGCAGCACGGGGGGCGCCTGGGCGGCTCCTCCTGGCGCACACTCAGCCCCTGCGCTTCTCTCCCCCCTTGGGAGCTCATGCCTGGCCCACCCGCCCCTCTCAGGGCAGCGGCCAGGGTGCCCTTGGGGACCTACTGCTCAGAGCCCACCAGTGGCTCCCCGCTCACTGAAAAAGGTCTTTGGGGCCCGCACCTCCCCACACCCCTGACCTGTTCTCGCCATTTCGCCCTGCTCCTCCTGCCCCCGCACGCCAGGCAGCGTGTCCCCGCTCTCTGGAAGCCTCTCCCCTGGGATAGCGGCGCTTCTCCTTTACCCTCCTGGGGAGGCCTTCTTTTAAAACATCCTGAACAACCACCCCACCAGACTCTCGCTAGCCTCTTGTTCTCCAGAGCGCCTAACCGTCCTTGAATGGGCCCCATAGACACTGGTTATTTCGTTTTTGACTGATTCTCCCCAGTCGCCTGGGGAACCCCCGAGGGGCGGGACTGACCACTGTTCCATCCACAGGCTCTGGCCTGGCTAACAGCTGCTGAAGACAAGTGACAGATTCGTTACAACGTCTCTCTGCTTTTGTGCATGTCTGCAATTGTCCACAACAAAAGGCTATTTTAAAAAGTCATTTGGGGGTGCCTGGGTGGCTCAGTCGTTAAGCGTCTGCCTTCAGCTCAGGTCACGATCCCAGGGTCCTGGG